ATTTAAACAATGAGATTAAGTCAAAGTCACATAACTGACAATTTGCAACGAATTATCAGAGCGAATTTTGATATATTATATTATCCTACTATTGTTACACAATTTACTAACAAACTCTTTTTTAGGTTCATTTAGGTTCTTTTGATAACGATAGCAGAAAATAGCTATCGAAACGTCAAGGTAATTTTTCAAATTAATTTCTCTACTAATTGGAATTTTCTCTTACAGCTTGAGCCTAAGTGTGTCTGTCGCAGGATACCCTCTAGGTGATAGTTCTTGATTACTTTTTGATAAATAATTCCTTCTTATTGCGAAATAGGAGCACTATTTATCAATCTGTAATAAAAGACGTGAGAAAATTCTGTCTTTTTTAAAGACAAAAATTTTTGAGGCGAAATACCCAAAAAGAAGTTTGTAAAAATTTTAAAATGTAGTTATTCTTGTTCTACGTTTAAAAAAGGCTTCAAAACGCGATAAAAACTTAAAGTCGCAGCGCAATATACGTGAAAAACTAAGTGGTATAAAATAGAATAAATATGTATTCCAAATCAAATTTATTCCTGGGTTTCAGTCATTTATTGTCTCTATTTATTAATCAAAATACGTTTTGGTGATGGTGGAAAAATACCTGGAAAATAAATGGAATGAAAACTGATGATGGTGGAAAAATACACCGAAACGTATTTTGATTAATAAATAGAGACAATAAATGACTGAAACCCAGGAGTAAATTTGATTTGGAATTGAAACACAGTCAGGAAAGTATATACAATAAATATGTATACTATACAGGATGAATCTGTATCCTATGGATAATATTGTTTGGGGCCATCTAAAAAAAAACGCTTTTTTGTTCAACGCTCTGTATCTGCCAAAGGATGCCATTCAGGGACAATTTTTCTGAGAGGGGCATTATTCTAACCTGTTCTATTTATTCCGGAAGTTATCAAGATTAAACCTGAAACACCCCGAATATTTAGCTCAGCTAAAAATCGGGGAATGAATCTGAACTGTTTTTTATAGCTAGATTTTCTCATGCACATCCGATGAACATACTCAAAAACAATCTGGCAGCTTTCTCAGGTATCTTAATAATTAAATTGTCATGACCGTAATACAAAGAGCGAAACTTCCAAACATTTATGCATGTTCCGAACATTTAAGAACGACAGTGGCGGACATGAGCAAAAAATCAAATTTATGTTGAAACTATATAGTCCAAAATTACCATCTACTATGTTGTATATCTCTGTATAATGCTAAATTATAGGTGTTGATAGATCCAACCACCAAGACAGCTTATGGAGTTGAAATGATGAGAAATGGACAAACATTTAGTGTGAATGCCAGTAAAGAAGTGATTTTGAGTGCAGGTGTGCTAAATTCGCCTCAACTCCTCATGTTGAGTGGAATTGGTCCAAGAGCTCACTTATCCGAATTAGGTGTGTAATTGCACATTCATTATACCAAACTAAGACTGATTATTGATTATTTCAATCGTGATTATGAACAAATCGAACATTCAATTACGAAACCGTTTTTCAGGCATAAGACCTATAATTGAAGATTTACCTGTAGGACAAAAACTTTATGACCACATAGCATTTGCAGGGATGCTTTTCATAATTAACAAACAAATAGAGCCACGATCACTATTCTATCATCCTTCGTCACTTCTAGACTGGCTTTTTCGAGGAAAAGGTTTTTGGACATCATTGGGAGGTAAAACACAACTCAACTCGTCTCCATCGAACATCTAATAGTAAATAACATTTTAAGGAATTGAAGCTTTGGCATACTTGAGCACTAAAAATGAAACCGTCCCTGACATAGAACTGCTGCTAAATGGTATTGGATCTCTTCAGTTTGATAGAGGCATATTTTCACGACCAGAATTACGAATTACACATAAACTCTACAATGAGTACTTTAAACCCATAGAAAACCAAGACGTGTTTTCAATCATGCCCATGTTGTTACATCCGAGATCTGTTGGATCATTAAAACTCCGTTCCAAAAATCCTGACGATCCGCCTCTTTGCTACGGCAATTACCTGACCGATGTTAATAAAGAAGACTTGGGAGTGTTGATCAAAAGTATTAGAATCATGGAGAAATTGGTGGATTCAGAAAGTTTTAAAGAGCTAGAGGCTCGAGTCTATGACAAAGGGTTGCCAGGATGTGAACATTTTGTTTTTGATTCCGATTCCTACTGGGAATGTGCTATTCGTCACTTGGGAGTGACTTTACATCATCAGATTTCAACGTGCAAAATGGGCAATGGCACAGATGCAGTCGTTGACAATGAATTGAAGGTAAAGGGCGTTAAAAATTTACGAGTAGCTGATACAAGTGTGATACCAATGACCCTAAGTGCTCACACCAGTGCTCCAACTATGATGATAGGTGAGAAAGCAGCTGATATTCTTAAAAACCAATATGGAATTATTTAAATATCAGTCAATTTTTTATTGAATTGGTGCCATTTGTCAATTAAGATTGAAATTTTTATATGAATTTTTCCAACCATTACAAATTTGTTCAACAGCATATTAAATGAAATAACGAATAGGTTTGTTGGCACGCACAAATAGCAATAAATATAAGCCTAAAATGAAGAAGACTTCCGACAAGTTAAAAAGTATGAAGTAACTCGGTAAGTATTCAAATTACCGACCCACTATTAACTATTTTTCATTGAATTTCTGCTTTCTGCTATTTTTTTTTAATTTTATCGAAATGGTTTTGAATGAATGAAGCGATATGAATTTTATTAATTGTTGTTATTATTTATTACTGGTTTAAGTTTTTCAGTTGTTCTAAATACTTATGTTTAAATGTTAAATAAAACAGGGTATTGCCTTTTACCTACAAGCACGACTTGAATGATAACAATAAAGTTCACAGGTTCATTTTTCTTGTTCCTTTGTGTGTCTTTTAAATGAAAATTTCCTGTTTAAATCCTCTTATGTTTTAATATGTTGTAACGTACAGTGGTTCCAGGTGAAACAGTTTGAATGTACAACGTTTGTACTAAGTTTATTTGTATGCAATTTTGTTTTATTTTATTATACAATTTGTTCTCTTCTGTGTCACCATCGTTTTAACAAAGGAAATTCAAGTCATTAGAAATATTGTTCTAACCCATATGCTCCCAAATAAAACCATACGCGACAGGTATTGTTTAGCTAATTATTTATTAGTTGAAACGTAAAATGTTGTCGCTTAAATTAGCTCAGTAGCTTGAAATCAGGAAGTCATGGTGACCAATGCTCTGAATCCCCATGATATCTTATTATGGCATTGTAATAGGATCCTGAATGTATATTTTATTTGAAAAATAACCAAGTAATAGTATCACCTTGTAGTTTAAATAAAAAGCGTTGATAAAAAAACTATAATTAAAAACGTCATTAGAAAAAACAAATTGCTTGTCCTTTAAGTATATCTCTTTTTAAATGTTACGTACTGATATCCGTATCAATTAGTATTTAAGTTACTTAACTATTTCAGTACACTTACAGTTTAACCAACTGCAATCATAAAGGAATTACGTAAAATAAGTAATCGCTAACAAAGAGATGAAACATGTTTTGTACTCATGTAAAATTCGATGTAAGAAAAAAAAACTTAAAGCGAAGTAAAAACCACTAAATCTTGCAGGTACTAATTATATGTTTAATTAACTTTTTTAATCCTTTTCAAAATCCTGGTTGCCATATATGCATTTGAGTTATATATAAAAAGTAATGAAAATGGAGCAGCATTAACAACACACGCAATTTTGATTACGATAATCACGAGATGACTAAATTTTAAAAACCTGACAAAGCCATAAATTCGATACTTACAATTTAATTACCATGGTAACTTTTATTAAATTTTAATGCAAATTAAAAATAAATCAAGTTCTGTAGGTTTTAAATATTACCCAGCAGCAAAATTAAAAAACTAAGAAACACGTAAATATGAAAATGAAACTAGTGGATTTCATGCACTGCTCCAACAGTGATGAACGCAAGAAAACTTCATGTTTTGATTATTTTTAAACAAAATTAGACCAAATTATCAAATATTTTTTGAACTATGTTAATTAAATATGTTTAAAGTACAGATAATTTATTGTTAAAGTTGTCGTTAAGCTAAAATATTTTGTCTTGTTTGTCATAAAGCATGCATGAAATTCAAAAGAACTTATTATTTATTTAAAAATTATTAATTTTGTCAGTTTATTATTACTTACTAACATAATTATCTTGCCAATAAATTTAATATGATGTGGGTTTAAAAACCATAACGCCCAATAAATAAATTATGTTCAAAATAGTTTATAAATTTTGGTTTAACTGGCAGAATGTGAGTACGCAACACATAAGGTATGAGCAAGATCATTATTTAGCTACATCATTATTCAGAGTAATGCAAGTTTTTCTTTCAAATGTAACAAAGAGATATAGACAATTACCAGCATACTGTAATTATAATAATATATGCAATAGATTTAATTTGGATGGATTGAGTCAGCAATTTAAACCTTCACAGAAACATTGATTCACATTTAAGTGCAAAAACGTGTGCTCAGAAGTGAAATTCAATAAAAAACATTTATTTCGTTAATATAAGAGAATCATAAATTATCGATATTTAGATTATTTTAATGTGAGAATCAATCAATTTAATTTGCTTATAAATGGTAGGATGCTTTTATGTTGCGTTAATTAAATTTATATATACCTATATTTACTTATTAGTTTCAAAAATCTTCCAAAGTGATCAAGTGATACATTATTCTGCATTAAACATATGCACTTAAGAATGTTTTGCGAAGATAAAAAAATACTTAATATGAAACGTTAGTCATGTCTTATATGACAATCAATTATACAGTGCAATCAAACAACACTAACATGTTTTCGTTACATAAGTTATTTTTTCATTCATAATAAGTTAATTAACCATAATCACGTTTGTTTAATTATCTTAATTCGCTTTATATACTTGAATATCGAACAGAAGCATTTTTCAACCAAATTCACTATATCCAAGTTTCCAACAGGTTTTATTGAAGAAGTTTGTGCTCAAATATAAATTTGAGAAATATTAGAGCTAGAAGACTACAGATTCTAGCAGAAATTTTCAAAATTCAGTCAAATACACCTTAAATGAAATGCTATAATTGTGTCATAACAAATGAAACTAGCTAATAGCTAATAAATGCACATATTATTTGCTTTGTAATTTATCCTTATTTACTAAATTGTTTTCACCAAGGCTAACTACTGAACACAGTAATAGTAATATTAAGTTAATATCTGCAGACTATTTAGTTCATATGTCTATAAATAAAAGGCATTTTCCCATAAAAGCACATACTTAACAGAACTGACATCTAAATTGCTTTAGGTATCTGAAGAACCATTCGTGTATAGAAAATGTAACAAAAAAAAAACATAATTTTCACACAATAATTGCATAATAGAATATAGATTTTAAATTGAAGAAGGGAGCTAATAGAATCAAGCAACGCTAAATCGGAAAAATGATTGCAACGTCTTTAAACAATTATCAAGGCAGGAGAGTATCAGGAGATAACTGAAAAATATATTATAAATGGAAAAGTGGTTTCAGTGGGGAGTGTATTGCATGTAGAGTGTTTGTGATTGAAATATAGTGCGTAACATACATTAGAAAAATTATCAATATTTCAGGTAAGTCAGTTATAGTTGAAATTGGTAGATTGGTTTCGTATTCATAATTATTGTTCAAGTTAGAAGCGGTGGGAATAGTAGTACAAAAATGAGACAATAACATAGTCACGTTATAATAAGGAAAAACGTATATGTAACATATAGGTGCTAAGATGTTTATGCACCACAAATGAAATTAATTTAATTCTTTTAATAAAATAATTGTCTGGACAAAACGAGATTGTTCCTAAGTGTAATACAGTGTGTTATCTAATCCAACAAAATTCCCAGTAATTTTTCTGAAATAATCGAGTTATATTATATATTTATTTCTCTGTAAGTAAAGTGAAATGTTCTCAATAAACTTGCTAACAGAATCCCGATATTTGTCATAAAATAATTGCAATGAATCTTTGCAACAAACAAAAAGTTAATTTTACTATTTTCGATTAAGGAAATTCTAAAAATAATTTGTATTAAACTAATTTCACCCAATTAACGATAAAAAGTTATTGAAATTATACTTACTGAATTTTCGTATTATAATTAAGTTAGTTTGGGTTAGTTCATATGGTAAACTAAGGCGATAGATCTATAAATGTGTGAATAGTAAGTAAAATAGAGAAAACAGATGCAAGAAACACTAGCCACAAAATAAAACAACGATTTGAGAAAATTACAGTTTATAATAGACCGGCAAAAAACGAATAAAAAGGATCCTAAACCGATTGAACGCATTTTAAAAATAACGACTGATCTTTTGAGAAAGTATTAGCGTTAATTTGCACCAAAAAATCCTCAAAATTTGTAAGTCAATTCACTCCATTTTAACAATATTAGAATGTAGCAAATAAATAGACACTTTACGTAAAAACTTAATTTTTGTTGCTTATGAGATGTGCGTTTAAATGAAATTTGAGTGCATAAAAAATACTTTCAGTATACTATTTTCATAAATCGGTTAAAGGTACATTAGTTTATTGACTTAAAAAGAATATGCATTTGCAAAATATTCGAAAGTTTTTATTGTTTGTTATCTCTTATGGAAAAAATTTAATTGCTTCTTATCTCGTCACTGTTGTACTGACTTCAGTACATTCAACAAATATATTTGTCGCAATTTCGCCAAGTAAAGAAACCGCATAGATTTTATACCATACTATAACAATACCAAAACAAATTAATTTACCGAGACAATAAAATGTGTTTTTTTTTTCCTTTTTTCCTACAAATGTGATGTTCTCATATTTTTCAAGCTAAGAAAATGGCCCGACAAGATGTCATACAAGACCAATTCCAATTAGATTAATTTACCGAAAGCAATAAAGTGTATTATTTTGCCAGAAGAAATAGAACAAAGTCCTTCAMTCGCATTCCGCAACTGATATGATTGTGAAATATTAAAATATATATAAATAATCTTTATTTCCTCCAGAAAAAGGCTATCGTCCCAATCGGTCTTTCTGCCCTATTAAAATATATTAATCTATTATTTCATAAAAATGTTATACAATTAAAAACTGAAGATAAAAACAAAAGATTAAAATAAGTACATCGGAACAATTTAATAATCCATCTGAAAAGTACTTACATATGCTCTCTCTACTTACATAAGTTTAACAACAAACTCTCTTTCGTCAAGTAGAAGAGTATTCTTACCTAAAACAAAAGAAAATAATTGTAACAAAGTTTTCATTCCAAACATTCATCGTGAAAGATAAAATTTTACGAGAGGATTTACACCAGTAACCAATCAAATTAATAAAGAAAAACTGGACAAGAAAAACAAACCCTAATGTCAACACCCAGTAAAAGATTAACATAAAACATCAGTACATTTTCTAAAGTGACTTTGCCCCCAAAATTTATTGTTTTAGGTTGATGGTACCTGCCTGAAACATTATGAGAATTAGCATTTTTACTTTAGTCATTCTTCTATATACCGAAAAAAGTCAACCATGCTGGGCCAATGACGTCGTCAATAATCTACTTACTTATTCCGTGAATATTGCTAATGAAATAAGCAGACAATTTAGGCTGCTTAATGAAGGGCAGGATTTTAATCAATGGTTCGCATCTAAACCATGGAATATCAAAGAGACTGCAGGTAACACACTTAGTAGCATTAAATGGGTTAAATTGACCATTAAAAATCAGTATCCATTAATGGAAATGTCACACAAAACCTGATACAGAATAATTTTTATGGTATTAGGTAAAGCCATGTTGCACATAAGTTTTTTATGGCTGAGGCGAATTTGTATTTTATAAACCTTATGGTTGAATATTTCGCCTCAAAAGTTAGTGTCTTTTGAAGAGACGATTTTCTCAGGTATTACCTTCGTTCTTTAAATGGAAGTAAGAGAAGTCGTCATCAATTCGCACTAGAACAGTTGAAAAATATATCTTTTTAAAGACTCAAAATTTGTAAGGAGAAATTCCCAACAAAAAGCTTTTTAATCTTCAAAGCATTCAAAACTGAGAGAAAAACACGAAAAACAACTTTTCTACGATAGAATAAGTATGCCAGGCAACTCTAGTTTGCTGTAATCTATGGACTTTATTACATTTAATGAATGTTGGACTTTAGGTAAGAAATACGACTTTATCATTGTCGGATCTGGAGCAGCTGGATCAGTAATAGCCAACCGACTATCAGAAGTAGAAAAATGGAATATTTTGATACTGGAAACGGGAATTCCCGAGACGGAAATAATGAAAATACCATCCGTAAGTAGCTAGCAATAAAATTAAACATTTTACAGTGTGGTAAAAATACTATCAAAATGAATAGTTAAAATATTTTGCAGAAAAAATAAAGAAAAAATAAATCAACATATTAATGTTCTGTTCAAACACGACAAATTTGCGTTTTCACATATAAAAACGCCCCTTACTTCTTTCAGTTCGCCCCCATGTCTCAGTTTTCGCCTTACAATTGGGGATATTTCACGGAATACCAAGAAGGTAATTTTTTCGGACTAAATCGGAACCGAATGAGGTGGCCTAGAGGTAGAGCTTTAGGTGGTTCCAGCACTATAAATTATATGATTTATACCAGAGGAAATCGATGGGACTACGATAAGTGGGCTGAAGCTGGTAACCAGGGTACGATAATTAACATGTAGGTATCAATAAAACGTATAAAAAAACTGGAATATCTATAGGATGGGCGTACAACGATGTCCTTCCATATTTCATTAAGTCTGAGAAAGCTCGAAATCTTACTGACTACAATCCAGAATTGCATGGAAACCACGGTCTCCTGTCTGTTGAAAATGTCTACAAGACAAAACTTTTAGATGCATTTATTGAAGCTGGTGCTGAATTGGGCCTGGAGTTGATTGACTACAACGCAAATTTGAAGTCATTTGGAGTTAGCAGATTACAAGCAACAGTCAAAAGAGGTATTAGTGTGAAGAACTATTACAATTTCATTACAATTTGCACTTTAGGGCGAAGGCACAGTGTAGCCTCAGCTTTTCTATGGCCTGCAAGAAACAGAGCAAATCTAGACATAATCATCGACGCACATGTCACCAAAGTACTGATTAATCCTACAACGAAAGCAGCTTACGGAGTAACCTATTCAAAAAATGGTCAGAAATACTCAGTGTTTGCAAAAAAGGAAGTAATCCTATCGGCTGGTAAGAAACACTGAGTTCCAGCTCCAATTAATTAATTCTTGTAATATGCATACGTACACCTATTCCTAGTTCGCATTGTTTACTGTTTGATATTTTAAATTCTATATACCTTTATCCCTAGTTTTTTATATTTGTAGGCACGTTTAATTCGCCACAACTGTTGATGTTGTCAGGAATTGGCCCGAAAGACCATCTGGAGAAATTAGGCATTAAAGTTTTAGAAGACTTACCAGTAGGAAGAAATTTACAGGATCATATCGCATTTCCAGGTATTAGCTGGTGCAATAATTTACATTTTGCTTAAACTGATTTTCAGGCCTCACCTTTGAAATAGATCAAGCTGTCGATTTAAACATACGTGAGACCATTCAGCAAATATCAGAATTTATAGATAACGGTAAGAGTTGAATTATTAAGCAGTTTTTACAGTCACATAGGAAGTATCCTACATAGCAGAAAATTTGCATTTATGAAAAAAATATATTTTAAGGCGAACCAAATTTTACAAATAATTTCGCTGGTGAAGTACAAAGTAGCAAGGCATTTCACAGATGCACTTGTGATTTCAAATGTTTAATTCTCCTGATTGGGGTCGCGAAACATCACAGGATTTTTAACAGGAAACTTAGATAAACATCGCAGCTTTCAAATCAGAAAGATTAAAGTAACGTTCGAAATTAAAATCGAGTTGCCAAGTGCTCAATAAGGATGAACATCCTTTGTTGTAATGCTATATGTAAATTATTGCATACAAATTAAAATATAGTTGATGTAAAGTTAACTTTCGGTCGCACGCATTGACTTTTCAAGATTAACTTTTTCTTTCAATTAATACCGAAATAATTGAGTGCAAATACTGATACAATTAGTAACTAGGATAAAATATTATTTACTTTTCACGTGTCTGTACTCATTTAAGGAACTGGACTATTAACAAGTTTAGGAGGTTCCGAAGGGATTGGATTTATAAAAACCGCTGTGGCAGATTATCCAGAAGATTATCCCGACATGGAATTGCTTTTTATAGGTGGAACTTTGGCAAGTGACTATGGACTCTCTACATATAGAGGTAGATGTGACTTGAATATCGAAATACAGCTCAACGGAATTAATTCCTTCAGGCATGAATATCAAAGATGAAGTATTCGACAGCGTATTCAGGCCATTATTCGACAAACACGCATGGACTATATTTCCGATGTTGCTTCATCCCAAATCAGTAGGTCTGTAAAATGTTGCTACTGTTAAATATTGGAACTGTGTTTATCTTAATTCGGTGATTAGGTTACATGGAATTGAAATCCAAGGACCCATTCGACTACCCCAGGTTTTTCGGAAATTACTTTACGGATCCAGAAAATCATGACTTAAATACATTTGTGGAAGTTATAAGAATTATTCAGCGATTTTCAAACACCACCGCGTTCCAGAATTTCGGATCCAAACTAAATCATCGCTCAATGTTTGGTTGCGAGCATGAAACATTTGATAGTAATCGTTACTGGATATGCTGCCTGAGGTATAAAAAAACTTAACTTCACTTTAAAAGTGGAGAATAAAAATAATTGTTCCAGATCAATTAGTATTACTCTGCACCACCAAGTAGGCACAGCAAAAATGGGCCCTTCAGAAGACAGCACAACTGTAGTAAACCCAAATCTACAAGTACATGGAATTAAAAATTTGAGGGTGGCAGATTGCAGTATTATCCCTAGAGCAGTAGGAGCGCACACTAATGCTCCTTCAATAATGGTGGGAGAAAAAGCTAGTGATATTATTAAAGACTACTGGGAAGAACTTCAAAATTCTGAATTATAGTTTGCAAATGCTGAAGACCGCGTTTTTCAAGACAAACCTGTATTTGTGTAGAAAATTATTTTTTACCAAAGTCTAATCTTCAGAAAATCTGATATAATTCAATAAAAATATCTTCAAAAAACAGATCCGTTTAGAAGTAAATCAAATTTAATATACTGGCTAACAAGAAAGCTTCTCCCTTTAGCGCAATTAGGTGAGTTTTGAATTAGCAAGCAAACTTCGAAGAAGCTTGATATTTAACCAACTGTTCACGAGTAGTTAATCTCACATTTTGAAGCTGATTGTATTTGCAATAAAAACATTTAAGAAAATCAATGTTTTCCATGATTATGCGATTTGATTATTTGTGCAGACTAAAAATAAATTATTCGTGTATAATAATAAAACACCCTGCATATTGTTCGATGCTTACCTATATTGCGTTAGCTGGATAAATGTCATTAACGGCCGATTTTTTTTCCAAACGTTCAAGAATCGGTTCAATATATTTGCAAAGCTTTTTTGGGAAAACTAATTGTTTTCTAAATTATTTCTTTACAGTTACAGTTTTCTTATATAAGTAATAATGAATAAAAAATATAAGGCAGACGTCAACTATAGTCAAATGCATAAAATATCTACTAAACCCTGCATTTTGCCGTCGAAAGTCTGCCGACAAACAAGATGAAACGAAGTCAAAGAACGGTGTATTTAATAAGCCTATTTACAAAGTTTAAATTAGTAAATTTTTTACTACAAAAATGTAATAAGCATAATATTTTTCAAATATTGTAACTTTTATTTATATGACTTTTGATGTTAATGCGGAAATCCTGCAGGATTAGCCGCCTTTGTTATCAGCATTTGCTTGAAATAGAATTGTACATATTAAAAGCTTTACAGTTTCACTAACTTCGGCTGAACTGAAATTAGAAACAAAATTTTTTCTACAATTTTTCGAATAAATATTATAAAAACAGTTGTCCAATAGATTTAATTCGACTGATTTCTGCACTATTTTCGGTTTTGAAATGGAGCTCATTACAAAGATGGTATAATCAGGTACAAAAAGATGTGATTTTGGCGTTTGAAGATGCAGAACATTTCTATTAACCCAGCAGCGACAAAGATAATTAATGTAATGAATTGATGAATTGAAACAAGAAATATAAATAATAAATTTACAAATAGATCAACAACAATATACTTAATATGTTGAGTGTTTTTAACGTTTCAACACCAAGTTGATGCCAGTCACAAATTCAATGAATACGATTGAATTCATAAGTGGAAGATAAAGAGGAATAAGCGAAATGTACCAGGGTGTTCGAAGGGTAAGGTAAAGTAAGTTTACGCTTTGCCGCTACTTTTAATTGACAATTATACACGATGTGTCATTAAAGTTGCAGCACAAAGAAAAAGTGTTTCTACTAACCAAATGCTCCTACTTTATTTTTGATTTCCTATCGAAATTTTTACTTTTTGATAGGTTAAATATTAGCGAAGATTAGATGATTTTTGTTCATTCAGTTTAAGCGATAAAAAATCCCATATGATAAATAGGCAATTTCCTTCTACACCTGCATACATCAAATTGCCTTGCGCCTTTTACCGCGATATAATAGTGAAGTAAAAAACATGACCGAAGACCATCCATTTCGTACCATGTTTTTCTTTTCTTTCGCTACTTTGAAAAGGGTTGGTTTCATCGAGAAAATGAACGGGATTAAAAAGTCGGGACTTTTCTTGACTAAGATAACAATTTAAGAAAAGATATGGGACATTTTAGAAACATTAAAATACATATAACCACACTTGAGACTATAAGCAGTCACACAGAGTTTTGATTTTTAAATCTATGTCATTTTCTTGGCGCCACCAACCGTTTTTCTTCGAGTAGGAAAATTTTCCCACGCAAAATACCTCACACTTAATTACTCAAAAAATCTTAAATTTGCCAGCATAAAAATATTGGAATTCACCTTTAGTGATATGAAAAATACGTCCATATAAATTTCACGAAAAAGAATTGTCAGATGTGGGGTTCGAACCCACGCTCCCTTTCGAGAACCAGAGCTTAAATCTGGCGCCTTAGACCGCTCGGCCAATCTGACATGTTAATAGTAAGAGCAACAATGTGTAATTGTAACTGCAAATGCATACTACCAATAAATACGACGCATTTACATTTAATAAAAAACAATAATAATAAAACACGTGTATGTTTGAACCTTTCAAGGGGCAGGTTAGTACAGAGTTTTTAATACATTTAGTTATGTCGGTGTTTATTGCGATAACGAGTTAAAAATAATGACATTCTCCTTCTATCAACGAGAATTGCTAAAAATTATTGTAAATACTGGACATTTCTTGAAAACAGTTGCTCAGTGGCGTCACGTGACGTAATCATTACGTAATTATAAAAACAAGACGCCATAGTAAATAAACATCTGATAGTCAACAGTAGATCGTCGCTTGTACCATAACCCTATATTTTAAGTGCATTTAAATTGAAATCTATTGAAAATCCACAGGGACCGACTGGAAGCGATGTAATGATGCAATTAATGGCAACGATAAACAACAAAGTGACTCATAAGTGGCTCAATTGCAATTAAAATGATCCCGTAACTGGATAAACCACACATAAAGGCCGATACAGGGTAATGTAAGCAGACAGCCAATTGCGATATTGCTAAAACCAGAAAACGTGAGGGTTTCAATAACTTAACTAGTGGGGTTGATAAATTTCCTGAAAACTGACCTGAAACAATTAGGGCTTCGTTAGGGCCGACCGTATGAATGTTTCCCATTATCAGTCTTGGCAGCTGCAACACAAACACAACACTTTTACTCAGAAAAACAGCAAAAATTGTGAAATTCTGGCAGAGAACCGACACTGACAATCGCAAAATATTTTTCACCGGAAAATGACAGTCTCAAGTAGGAACGCAGTCGCGATAGTTAAATATCAAATTTCTTTAAATGATTAAGTAATGACGTCTTTTTTCTAAGATTTATTTACACTAATCAATATACGTATATTTGGGGGACAGAAAAAAGGTGCTAAACCCCTGGACATAAATTTTACATTACAATCTGCAATATATCGATTACGTTTCAATAGAGATGAAATATGGAAGTGCAGTGACGCCAATAACAGCCGGCGTCGCGCTCAATCTCAGACATACGAAGCAGGCGTCGTTTCAGTATTCTAGTTCAAAGACAGTAAAAATTGTTGGTCTGAGCTTGTATCAGTCAAGTGGGGGCTTTTAATAGATGTTGTGTTTGCTTCAAGGGTCCAAAACGTAAGAAATCTCATACATTTTATTAGAAATATTGCATTGTTTTTTCCCAATGAGTGTTCAATATCCTAAGAATACCTCTAGCAATATATAACCAACGTTTCAACTTGCTAAAGTGGATTGTGTGGCATAGTTCAAACTAACCTCAAACATCCATACAGTTCTAGTAAGCATTTTAGAACTTATTGTTTACTAACATTTCTAGGCTTCTTACACGTAAGTTAACGAAAATCTGCATTCCAGGCCAAAATGACTGATATAAGTGACTTGGACCGGCAAATAGAACAACTGAAGAGATGTGAGATTATCAAAGAATCCGAAGTGAAGGCTCTTTGTGCTAAAGCCAGGGAAATCCTCGTGGAAGAGAGTAATGTACAAAGGGTGGATCCTCCAGTTACTGTAAGTAATTAGCATTCTCGTTCCTAGCAGATTTCAATTTAGTTAAGGCTATTTAGGTAATTGGCAAGTTGTGCAATCGGTAAAAAGTAAGTACATTTTGCAACAAAAATAGCTTCAATTTTCAAAGATTTTGCATTATCCACCACTGGGCTTGATTTCATCAACACTTCATAAGTGTCCCAAAAGAATCAATGTGTTCGTCGAATAATTACAAGGTTGTAGTGTAAGGACAAAATGACAACCTGACCCATCTAACAATGAGTAGTGAAGCCTCTTAAAAATGTGTAGTCAAGGTGAACGAAAACGGGTGAAAATCGGGGGTGAAAATGGATAACATGCTTTCGAAGTTCATAGTGGTCTTAAGCATTGGAGCATTTAAGCAAGAAGAGTGGTGACAACGCAGTCACCACTCTTCTTCAACCAAATCAAAGAGCGAAGGAATTTTAAACAGAACTCCTAACAAACAGATACCCCAAACTACCGCTATCCTACGCGGATGAGATTGACCTCATCGAAAACTTCGTGAGTTAAAGAGATATTCAGCAGGGTTGAAACGAAGACTAACAAATTAGGACTGAGAGTGAATGAGGAGAACTATCTGTGCGTCAACAAAAGTAACTGGAGAGGCAGAATAGGACACAACGTAACAATGGACAGCTATAACTATAACAGCTATAACTAACTAAGAAAGGGTGGGGTGTGTCAAATTCCTTGGTGCAACCATTACCTAAGACAAAAGGAAGAATACAGGCAGCCAATCGATGAATAATACTAAATACTACTCAAACGAGCATCAAAAATCAAAGCCTACAATACCATTTCAGACCGGTACTCATATGGATTCGGATAATCGAAATTTAGAATTCAGAATAGAATAGAATGTAGAATATTTAGGTCATAATATTTAAGTGGTCGCTTTATTTCGGCTCTATATTTTAGAAAAATTAGAATTTCAAATAGTGAAATACTAAACGATTGTAGTTTTCATGTCTAATCCATACATCTTGATTTAATAATGATATTATTGAGACCAAATTTCAGGACTGATTTCAGAATGCAGTTTACAAAAGAATATATTAAACAGGCTGAAACATGTCAGACTTGATTAACATCAAGTGATTTAAATCGCTGTAATTTTAAAGCTAAAATCATGATTTAATTGCGTTTTAAAACGTGTATTCATTTCTTGCTGTTCATTACAAATGTCACGATATTGTGGTGTTTCTTCATGTTTTAAGTCGTCCTACACCCTTATGTATTAGGATCTGAATTTTTTACATTAAAGTGCTATATACTTTATATTGTGATTTCACTTTCATGTAATGTCCAAAAACATTTCAAATATATCTATACTACCACCTTCCTTAAGTTACACCCCTTTGAATAACTACTAACGAAATATGATATACAGGGTTATTGATTGAACTTTGGCCACCCCGTTTTTGCATCTAATTTGAAATTTAGAGRAAAATGTTAAATACAAAAGTTGTAGATATTAACGTCTAGTTTATTTTAAGATAATGCCAATTGATACAGGATGTTTCAAATTCTAGTGACAGACCAAACTTACCCTTTTTTTAATGGAATGCCGTACTTTTTATTGCATATTCGAGCTATTCGTAAAATTGTAGGCCCCTTCGGTATAAATGTTCTCTAGTGATTTTCAACTGTTTTTGAGTTAATAAACAACATTGGACTTGGTCACGCTAAAAATGTATGTTTGGTCTGCCACAAGAATTTGAAACACCTTGTCTCAATTGGTATTATTTTAAAAGAAACTAGACGTTAATATCTACAACTTTTGTATTTAACATTTTTCTCTAAATTTCAAATGAGATGCAAAAACGGGGTGCCAATGTTCAATCAATATTGGTTATTAAGTCAAAAACAGTTGAAAATAATTATAGAACATTTATATCGAAGGCCTAGAGTTGTGCGAATAGTTCGAATATGCAATAAAAAGTACGGCATTCAATTTAAAAAAAGGTAAGTTTGGTCTGCCACTTGAATTTGAGACATCCTGTATCAATTGGTATTATCTTAAAATAAACTAAACAGACAGTTAATATCTACAGCTTTTGTATTTAACATTTTTCTATAAATTTCAAATTATATGCAAAATTGGAGTGGCCAAAGTTCAAACAATAACAATAAATTAGGTAAAAATCGGCAAAGAAACAAGTCCCAAAACAAATTTTCTACTAAAATTTCGGCAAGCGTGTTCTGACAAATATTTATGCTTTAATTTGTACTCTATTTTTCAGACTTACGTCTTAATACTCAAGAATATTACCTTAGTAATTTGCATTTAAGCCAGACTAAGCTAGAATGTTTAATTGAAAGCGAGATGTTTAAAATGATTATGAAAATAAAAATTAAATGTTACTTTTATGTGAATAATTATTTTTTACATTATTCTCTGAACGATTTGTCCAAAAATTAATTATGAAGTTATGAAGACACTTTTTCAGTCCAAAATAATTGCAATTTTTTTGCCAAGGCCTTCACATACAAGAAGTGAAATTGATGTGAAACTGTGTGAAAATGAAGAAGGGCATCTTTGTTTTTCTTGTTAGGATGAATCGCATTTAAGGATATTAAGTTTTTATAAACCAATTCACATTTACATGGACATTAAAACGCATGTCACAACTGTAACAGTAGTCATATTTTTATTTCATTATGGTTTTAAGTACGGAAAAGAATCACCAGTGAGGTTTACCCAATTTCCTAAATCTTTTACGGTTAAATATTACCACCAGTAGTTGGCGGACTATGCAAAACTAAATTCAAACAATTTAAAGCAAAATAAAGATAATTTATTAAAATCACCGATTCCCTAATTCATGATTGTTAGAAAGACATGTTTACAAAATTATGTCAAATTTATGTAATAATAGTTCTTTTAGATTTTAATGGATAAAGATAATGTGTAACTTATTTTTTTCATTTTTATTTCACATAGATATTTGAGCTGGACAATTCAGTTGTATTTTTTTTTTAATTTTAGGTCTGTGGAGATATCCATGGTCAGTTTTACGATCTAAAGGAATTATTTAAAGTCGGAGGAGATGTGCCGGAAACCAACTATCTTTTTATGGGCGACTTTGTTGACAGAGGATTCTACAGCGTTGAAACGTTCTTACTGTTATTGGCTCTCAAAGTATGTCGCTCAGTTTGGGATAAATCGAAATTAAATATTGTAAAATTTCACAGGTTCGATACCCAGATCGAATAACACTTATCAGAGGAAATCATGAATCTAGACAAATTACACAAGTATATGGTTTCTATGATGAATGCCTTAGAAAATATGGATCGCTAGCCGTTTGGCGTTATTGCACCGAAATATTTGATTATTTGTCTCTGTCGGCTATTATAGATGGTGGGTTTTCCAAATTTGAGTGCGGATTGTTATTTATCCGTTCTATCTTTGTTTAGGTAAAATATTTTGCGTTCATGGAGGCCTTTCCCCATCAATCCAAACCTTGGACCAAATTAGGGTTATAGACAGAAAACAAGAGGTACCACATGATGGTCCCATGTGCGATTTGCTATGGAGTGATCCTGAAGGTAATAATAAACTACTACCCTATTTTGATAATTTTATTACTATATGTATATGCAGTTTATTGGTAAATACAATGCTGCGATGATGAATCGAGGTATCCTACTTTTGCGAGAGAAAATGCTTTCGAACGCAAATGTTACAAAAACATCTGCTTAACGCTGTTCAAATGTTTTCTTTTATTTTGTTGAACCGAATTCATAATTGTAAAATCGTCTGTAGTAAAATTAGAAACACCTAAAAGTGTTTCTTATATAAAATTTAAAAAGAGGTGGACTTTGAGCTGCTTTAATCGTGGTCACATTTGCTTAAGGTATATTACGTATAGCTTTCTATATAATATTAATAATATTAGTGATTTTATTCTAGATACTCAAGGATGGGGAGTGTCGCCCAGAGGGGCTGGTTACCTATTTGGATCTGATGCGGTAGCCCAATTTAATGACGCAAACGATATTGATATGATCTGCCGAGCGCACCAACTGGTAATGGAAGGTTATAAATGGCACTTCAATCAGACAGTATTAACCGTATGGTCTGCTCCTAACTATTGCTACAGGTATACTCTCAACTAGTTTTCTATTCAGAAAATGTTTATCACATTTTTTTAGGTGCGGAAATGTAGCAGCAATATTAGAGCTTAACGAACATTTGCAACGGGACTTTACGATATTTGAAGCAGCCCCTCAGGAAACACGGGGCATCCCGTCAAAAAAACCCCAGGCAGACTATTTCTTGTAATTCTTATTATGGCTCCAATTGCGATTTTCTGACATTGCTTAGTCGGCATTAATAATGTATAAGGTTACTTTTTTCTATTGTTGAAATATTTGTTAAGAGCAAGACATTAATTGTGAAAGAACCTGCAGCAAGGTCTGATCTCAAATTAAGAAAATATTCAGAAAACATTTTTAAATTTTTTGCAGCCCAGTATTGAAATAAAAGGTGATCTGGAAGATTTATTTAAAACCATATAAAAACAAGCTGATATATAAGTTCAATTTCTGAGAGGTTTTTGTTTATATTCTGATATTTAGTAGTTCACCGTTTCATTTTTCCAAAAATGTATTGCCGACAACTATTTTATTCATTTTATCCTATTATTTTTTTATAAATTGAATAAAAAAGGCGAATGCAGTAGGAACCAAATTAATTTAATCGGGTTATATGCGCAAGTACAAAATGGATATTGAAATAATTCGTACTTTAAAGTTAACTATACATCTGTTAAACCTTTCTTAATAGTAAAATATAACCTCAGTTCATTGAAATGCTAATGTAAAAATTGATTAAAATGATTATGCTTTACAATTTTTTTCACCAATGTAAACCAGAACTGCCAAATAAATTGTTTTTAATTATGCACTTTAATTCTTTTGACACTAAGGTTCAGCTAAATCCTAGCAGGAGCAAAAAATACAGGGTGTTTCTAATTACGTGGCAATCTCTCGAGAGCATAGAGGGGAGGTCAAAAGAATACGGTTGGTTAATATACAAAAACATTATTAGCGGGCCAAACTGGAGATCTCGGCCCTCGTATTCGCAGGTGCAAAACATATCATTGAACTAATCCGTACCTTAAAGTTACATAATGAAATATTGTAACATTAGTTCATGTCGGCGTGGTGAATAGACGTACAGGCTAGTAACCTGTAGGTCTGTGATTCAAGTCCCTCACGCCCATGAATTTAAAAAAAATGTAGAACTAGCAGATTCCCTATGGTTTAAGTAAACACTGATTGGTTGTGCAATCGGCAATAATTTCGCTACTACTCTTGCCTAGATGTTTTAAACTTTGTAACGCATTCAATTGATTTCTTAATGCTTCCTCTATTTTCTCGTCCTTTGGTGAGATGCGCTGGAACGCTACATACATGACTTTTCAGTTTATAGTAGCTTAAGAGATACAGGTAGATGGTTAAAAATGTTGAATTAATGAAGTAGTTTTTTTTCGCAATACATGAATGCTCTCTCAAGCAGGACTCTCATAATCGAAATTTTAGTAGCTGTATTATGTTCTGGGACAAAGCTACATATACAATACAAGAAATGCCTTCTCTTGTAAAGATTGAATTCACATGATATACATGTATGTAATGAGGAAAATCCACACCCCTTAATAGAAACTCAACATCAGCAGAGTTTATGGTGAATGTATCAGTCAGTATCATAGGAAATAATTTAATTGCTCCTTGTTTTGCTGGAAAAGACGCACTGGTGATGCAAATAATACGAAACTGTCGTGAGATCCGTCCAAATCGTTGAATGTGATTCAAAGTCTAAGGAAAAGATGTATAAGTGCGAAGGGCTCATAATGAACATTTACCAAAAAAAAGTTTTTTAACTCATTCTCGTTTAAATTAATTCCTGCAGAGCGAATGAATTTATCTTTGAAACAGTTCGATTTATCGAAATGAATGAAATTTCCTATTTTTGTGTAAATATGTCCAGTCTCCAGCAGTTATGTGTAGCTGATATTAATGGCACCTGCTAAAATTTAAACTAATTACGCGCTTGGGCCACTCCCTTCCTGTTTTTAAGGGCTTTCGGATCGGTTTGCATGAAAAACATTTTGCCAAAAAATTATGAGAATCTACGAAGTCGTTCAGAAATTAGAACTCGAAATGTAAGTTTCGAGGCGAGTTACCTCCATTAGGGGAGCGCTAAGAATTTTTTACATGAACAACAATTAGAGATTGTAACGTGCTTAAAGGACACCCTGTATATTTAACTTAGTATAATGTTTGTTAGTGTCCTTTCTAGCAACGTACCCATCAAATTTGAGAAAATGTTCAAATAAAACTTAATATATTCAATAAAAGTTTATTTATTACCCTAAATAATGATTCACATTTTGTATTTTAAAGAAGCTATTTGGTGATCGACCGTTAGCATATTTGTTTCCTTTTGCTTCCGCCTCAAATTTCGCCAATACTGATGCTACAGATTTTAAGCTCTGTAATGCATCTTGTTGGTCAACTATGGTGTTTCTACATTTTACTAATGCTTCTTCAACCATCTCGTCCTTTGATACAATAAACTTTTGGTAGTTGGAATCCACGAGCAAACACGTCCATTTGGTTATGCATTTCTCGGTTTTAAACGAGTTTAATTTAGGCAAATCATGCCCATATTCAGAGAACTGGTAAACTAAGTATTGCATAAGAATGCTGGCTTGTTCTATGGATAAACAGCTTCTTAAGTGAGGCAACATGTGAAGGTTGCTAAACTGCCGGATTAGGAGTTTATCTAAAAGAAGTGCCCTTCCATGAGGCATCATTTTTGGTGGCAAATTAATCAAGTTTTGGCTATTAAACTTAGGGAACAACTTTTGATGACACGAAAGAACAAACTGCAGAATTTTCGCTAAGTACGCTTCTTTAATATCCGTGAAATAATTTAAGATGTCTTCTAGCAATCTTATGTTTTTTTCTTCTAAAATATCTTCTATAATATGTTGAGTTATGAGGTTTTCTGGCAAGCCCTCTTTTAACATTTCGTCCAGTCGATTTTTCAAATTTGGTGAAATTTGCTTTTGTTTTGTTTTTTCTACTTTAAATTTCTTGTTTTTCTTTATACTTTTATCTCCTTCTGAATTCCATTCAGCAACATGAAAATCGGTAACAAAAGCGATGTCGCTATCGATTTTATTTTGAATTGGCTTATGTGTGCCAATCAAAGACACTAACTGTTCTGTTTCTAAGCAAAATGGCACTACTATTAGATTTTGTCCTATTGGTAGCAAAATCGAATTAAAAGTTTTCCATATTTTTGCCTCATCGGTGTACAACTTATGCACTTGTTTCGATTGGGTTACTTTAAACTGAGTGTTGTAGATAAGAAGAATTGCCCCCTCCTCATTGGGATCCGCACCATAAATCGCTATGTACTTTTCATCCAATGGTAACACTTTAACAAAGTGATTTGTAGAAATATTTTCCAGCACGATGAAAGTCTCTCCAACTGGAGATTGTCCTTCTTTCTGTTGCTTCGATAATTCCTTGGAGTAAATTTTGCCGTCACTCCACACAGAAAGCAAACTAACTTGATTTGAACTTGCAAATAATTCCAATCCTTTTAAGCTGGCACTTTCAACTTTCAAGGGATACTTGGAAAAGGTGTTTTTAGAGTCATTGAGCACTGTCCAGTAGAACATAAATCCTGTGGCATCGTTCACAAGAAAACCAAAATACAGATCTTCGTTTACAGAGGTGTAGCAAATAGAAGCAATATCCTTGTCCTCAATTATTACGGCTGGGGTGAAAGTCTTCCTGTTTTCTAATAGCTCACTCAATGGATACACTGATCCAGATTTGAACATTACAAATGTGGTTTCTTTGTGAGTAATGATTGTATGGATTGCTTGCTGGAATTTATATTTTTTTAGTTTATCCAGAGTTTCTATGTCGTCAGCCCACGTGCGGATGCACGTTTGATTGAATACTGCAACGTACATATTTAAGTTTCGATCATAATGAACTGCTGAGCTGAATTTGTCTTTAGTTCTCCAACTATTCAATTGCTTTTGATCGGATAACCGAAACTTAATAGCGATGTTTCTGCCTAATGTTGCAATTACAACACCTTTCTCACTGTCCTCAGTTATCCCCAGGAGAGTCTTGATGTCAATTAGGGGACATAAACGGTAATAGGATAGTAATTTCGCCATATTTGCACTAAGCACGAGCACAGAGCACAAATATTACACGAGGTAAACTTTTCCGCTTTATTTACGAATACATAACCTAACAAATTTGACGGACTTTAGGTTTCAATATGAAGTTGCACCGAAGAAGAGGAGGTATATTAGTTCCAGCGTCTTTGGTTACAGCCACGTTCCACCGTGAAAATATAAATACATATCGGATCCTACAATCCATTTAGGCGTTGCTTCGCAGTTATAATAAAAATTTATTATTTTATAATTTTTTTAAAATCTTACAGAATGTTTTTGCTTGTTTGAAAAATATCCCAATACAGAAATTTCAAACAAAATGTTATTCAAAAAACACTTTATTCAACTAGTTATTCAATATTATGCCATTATGGATATATTATAGAATTACTTATTATCAGTTATTTTAGTTTAGTAAAGTATGTAGCATTCGGTGAAATAAGCGGTTTTACTTACCGTCGACAAGTAAAAAATAACGTAATAATTAAATTATTATTAGATTTGTTTACAAAATTGAGAACGCTGCAGTAAACATTTTGAGAGCCATGATCATCAAAACTTTTTTCCCGGATTATTTGAACTACTTGCTTATGTTCAATTAAATTTAAAATTTAAAATAATAAATAAATAGCATATTTGTTTTACGGATGAACGTCAAAATTGATCATTTAAATTTCGGTTATGAGTGAAAAGGTTTTCAATTTTTTTCCCGTTTTCTCTCTATTTAACGTGAAAGTTTGATCAATAACTTGAATACGGGCTGATATTGGAACTTGATTAATCTATTTCTAAACCATTTTAATTATAACCAAAAACTCTTCGTCTATTTCCTCCAAATTTAAAAAAATGGAATCCCGTAGACAAGAAATATGTGCACACAATTCTTCAAATCAAGGGGAAGCAAGGAAATCAACCGAGGAAACAGATAAGGCCCACATAACAATAAGCGAATTTTTGAATTTTCTTAAAACAGCCTATCAGGTAACTTTTTTGCTTACTTTTATTTTGAAATATTTAATTAACATTATTAACATATAATATTAATAATTTATTACACAAGTTTAAACACGGAATATTTACTAAATACCTCTAGTTGCAATTGAAATATGTGTATGTTTAAAAACTAGTATAATTTTATTTCATTTTTTTCTGTGTTTGCTACGCAATAACTTTAGGAAATCGTTTAAATTTGGAGATATGTTATTTGCTTTGGATCTCAAGTGTTTAATTAATATTGAATTAAATTATATTAAAGAATACAAATTCATTAATATTGGAGAAACGGTTTGAAATATTCAAATATTACTTTACAAGAGTTAATAAATCTTAATTAAGATTTAACATCAACATTAGGTACAGGTTTTGAGCTAAAAAAAACGTATAAACATTGTATTAAATTATAAATGTGCCCACTCATTCAATACTGAATTAGTCAAACGAATTGTGCCACGAAAGTGCTGCGAACAGTACCAGTGGATATATATTGCGTTCCGATCCACTTCCAATTTTATGAATGGTATACCATTCATAAAATTTCTGATAGTATCTTTGATGAAAATCAACTTTTCAAATCATGTTAAAAGGGCAAAGTTCTCAAGATTCTTCACCGCTTGACATGTTGCGGTACGTTTAATAAATCTTCTGAATATTTCTTAAGGTTCAAGATTCGGTTGAAGGTGTTTTATTAGAAGGAGGCATGAGTGAAGCAGTAAATTGGCTCAAGTCTAAAGAAATTGAAAGTACGATAAAAGGAAGAAGTATGTCTGTGCAAACTTCCGATACGCTACTGCGAAAAGGTAGCGCGGATGATAATAAGAAAGGTATTTTTAGATAAATAATAATAAGCAAACCGGTTTCATAAAAATTGCTTTTAGAGTTGGCAAAAAAGCGAGAATCAAATGGCACATTAGTAGATGATTCGGATATTCTGAAGCAGAAACTGAATGAGGTACTGTCTGAGGGGCTCCTAGACTCCGTTTTACCATATCTAGTGCAAAGTACTAATTCCCTGAAGAAGAATTCATTGTGCAGCGTTAAAACTATCGGTAAATATGAAAAGTATATCTAAATACTAAATGCATGTTATGTAAAGAAAAAATAGTGAACTAATATCCAGAAAAATTAAACGTCTATAGTTGAGCAAGTAAAAAAGCTTTTGTTTAAGCAGCGGCATTATTTACCCGAAAATAACCCAAATAATAGCTAAATCATTTGAATACGTATTTTTTGAAGATAGCTTACACAGATAGACATTTTTCTCAACTTAATCACCTTTTGCGATAAAAAATTTAAATTGTTATATTCTTCATGTCGCTTGCTTTTTTTCCATGGATCTTGAAAACATGATTTTAAACTTCTGCAATACCGAAGAATATTCTTCAATACAATCAACTTTTTCTGGTAATTTTCATATCATATGGTGGTCTTCTCAACTTTGAAACGCTTTTCGCGAGCAATAAAGAATCATGCAAAATATTATATCTTTGTGCGGTATATCATGACTAAATAAATAACTTAAATAAAAAATACTTAGAGGCCAAGCATTGTCCTTTGACTGTATTAATGTACATATCTGAGTTTTTTAGAAAAAAATTCGCATACTTCTACTTTGACTGTATCTAACGAACGCTTAGCTCGCCGAAAATCTAGTGGAGATGCTTCAACTGCGTGCAAAGTATTTGATACTAAGATAGGGTAAGTTCGCGTACATATACTTACTTGAAGTAATTTAGAGGTGACAAATTAGCTACTTAAAACTGAAACTAAACATAATTAAGGCTTAATTATATGCTCAATTATTGTTTTAACTCAGTCTCAATTGAATAAATTATATCGTTTTAGATCTGAAGTGGAAATTCATGTATGCGATGAAATAAAAAACACGAAGAAAACCTTTACCTGTAATCAGAAACTTCTGGTTGAAAAAATGGGATACTTTGCTGAAGTGACTCTGGGTAACACTAATCAATATAAGCAATTCTTTAGCTTATCAATATTTTGAAAATGTCAAAGACCACGCCTTATATCTTCGATTAGAAGTTTAACAAATATGTTTCTACAGCACCAGCCATATTTAATTAGAAAAGCAAACGTACAGCAGACTCTACAAAAAAGGCTTTTTTGACGCTAATATGTTAAATTTACTATACGTGTTTTTAAGTTTAAATAACATAAATTCTTGAACGTAGAATCTACTGAGATATTTTATTTAACTAAATAGACTCACAAAGAGCATAATAGTCAAGTAACCATCTCAAATAATTGGAATAGAAGCATCAATACCTGTAATAATGGATAATCATTTTTGAAATTCGGTAGTTAGAAAATGTTAAAATTGCATTTATATTTTTATATGTAATTGTTAGGGCAAAAATTAGAAGACATGGACATATCAGTTCATTGCGACATAGGCATATTCGAGTGGCTTATGCAGTGGGTTAAAAAGGATTCGTTGCTTGAAGCCGATTGGCCGCATCTAGACTCGCAATGCGTTATTCCGATTTTGGTTTCTGCGGCTTTCTTGCAGATGGAACCATTACTACAAGATTGTCTACTATTTTGCCACCAACACATGAATGAGATCTTAAGAACTGCCTCAAATTTAAGTTGCTTGAATGATTCAGTCTTGACTAGGTAAATAGTCGAGATCATTGTTGAGTAACCGGATAGTTTGCTTTAACGTCGATTTTTTCAACATTTCAGACTGGCGGCCATGTATACAAATTCAGAAGTAGAATTAATCAAAGATAGGAAAGACAAGATTCAATCGAAATTGTTTTCGAAATTAATTCAATCGTTGGCTGAACCCGAGCCTGAAAGCGTTAGAGGGCATTGGTGCTCATTAGCAAGAATTTTCAGGTAATAAACTCTATAAACTAAAAATAAAAGTAGTAACTATCCCTTAGAATCGATTATACATTTATGTATAGAAGTTACGAAGTTTAGTGCGGTGCAGACATCCGTTTATCTTCTTTGTAAATAAACAAAGAATAGCTATAGCGTAAACTTTACATCTACCGATATCGGTTTCACCTGTACATTGCAAATATCTCGGTTTCAGTGGACAGAAATTTAAAGACAATTTCTCGACTCCTTCAAAGGAATGACGCCGCAGCGTCTAATTTTGAAATTATTTTTCATGCGATATTAATGCTATGTGGCCATCCATTAAAAGTATTTGCGCTACACAAGGTGGCTACACAAGGTGTGCTTATCAAACTTATGTTTTTTTATATAATAATACAGTAAAAATGTTAAATATGGAAAATAAGAATAGTGTTGATACAAGGTTTATGGCGTCTGTGATTAATAGTTTACCAGATAGACACTTTAAAGTTGAAAACAGGGTCACATTTGAAACAGCATTGTACTAAAAGTGTGTTAAAGGAATTGAAAAATCGAACCTTTCCTCTCATATCATTTATCTTGGGGTATAGGAACATAGTGTGACTTTTTACATACATATACATAATATACAGGGAGTTCGAGTTTTCGTAAAGATTAATAACTTAGTTTTTTAAATAAAGCACCGCATACATTATTCTGGTAAAATATTAAGCGCAGGGTCAATAAATTTTAAATAAAAATTATCTTTATTTTCAAAAGACCAAATTGCGACAAATTAGTGTGTTCCATTTAATAGAACATAAGTTTACCAAAAAGAAATTTTAAAATTACACTCCAGAAAGCAATAATCTTCCATCCTCGATTTAAATCTCCCTGTATACCATAGAACATCTGCTCAATGGCAAACAATCTCAACATTCTCTGAACTTGTGTTTATAGCGAACGATAATCAATAGGGCATTTATGTTTTGGTTATCAAAGTTAACCTAAAAGTTGTTTGATTGAACAATTTTCAAATATTTTAATTGATCGCTAGATGTGATAAATGTCAGCAACTAATAACTCCAAATGTTGCGGCAAGAATACCCTGTATTCCCCCTTGCATGAGGTTGCAACCCGATGGTTCCATTATTAGCTTGCATACAAGGTATTTATAAGTAACTATAAACAATTAGATTTAGTTTACGCAGTTTACTTTTAGAGATCCGAATTGGCTGATCAATGAGTACATTATAAAGCTGCACAAAACACTTAAAACTTGGCGAAAAGTTTATTGGAGGCTTTGGGGTGATGTCCATTTTCTATACTGTGGAATTTGCAAAAAGTGCGTAAAATGCACGCAGTACAGTGATTCAACAATTGATATAATATATTTTACAGATATTTTCCAACAAACCAAATAGGATGGTGTAGATATCACCCGGACACGCCTCAATTCTTTACTTTAGATGCACAAAAGGCACCTCTGCCGATTGGCCGATATCCGTGCTGTGGTGAAAGAGCTTATAGGTATGTTTTTTTTCGTTCTAGACAAATTCCCCAAACGCGATCAGCCAAAATCGATACACGATTACTTATCTGACTATAATAATGCTTTTTTTAGATTTCAACTGCTGGAGAACTACTCTGCGTGCCAATTTCGACAACATGCAGTGAGTGTGGAAGACGTTCGTCAATCTGCTATTTTTTCCATGTTAGAAACTTACAGACATTTGATTGAAGAAGAACCACCTGAACTGCTTTTTCCTGAAAGGCTTACGCGACTCGTTGCTAGAGGTAATTTAAAGTTTTTACATCAGTAGTGCTGACCAGTTTAAAAAAGTTCGGTACACTGTCAACGATCACGAAATATGGAATATTCAGGACCATCTCGTAACAATTTTCTGAAGTGCGTTCAAGATATAGTTAACATTTCAAATTCACTTTTGGATGGATGGCAGTTGAATGTGAAAACTGATGTAGAAAATGGAACTTACATTACCAAGAAAAAGCCAAAATTTCTGTGTGAATCCAAAATTTCTGCAATATTTGAGTATCACATTGCGTATAGCATAAGTTACTCAGTACCAGTTCTTTGTTTCAACGCTTGGAAAACTGATGGATCTATGCTAACTATGGAAGAATATTGGGCTAATAATAAGCATTTCAAAAATTTAAATATGTTTGATACTTTAACACAAATGGATCATCCAGTATTATGTAAACCATTTTTAACACTACATCCCTGTAGAACGTCAGAAATAATAGAACCAATCTTGGAAACCAGCAGAAATGCTGTAGTCACTTGGTTAAGTGTAGTTGGCCGTTTTATTGACTTTGAGATTGATCCAGACTATTTTCGTTATGTTAAATAATTGAAATTTACTTTCTATAATTAATGTAATTTTTGTATTTCAAATCAAAATACCTAAGATTTCCTTTTGTAAAAACGAATAAAAATATTTATATTTAGCCCATTAAAAATACCGACTTATAATACAACAAACTTATTTATTGATCTCAAGATTTTCTCATAGTTAACATAGTATTAATTTCCCATATAATTCTTCTTATGTGATCAATTATCTCCTTTAACTGTTGATTTTTCAGTATAATTTGCGCCATCACTTCTTTGCTTTCTTCGCAAGCCAGTCTATAGGCTTCTGAGTTCTTTTTTTCTTCATGCTTTGGATCTAGCTCATCTTTAAATGGAATTAAGCTTTCAATGTGCGTATATTCCATGCCCTGGATTTGATTGTTTTCATTGCTTTTCTCATAAATCAGCCGCAGTCTTTTAAAAAGTACTCTAATAGTTCTTAGAAGTTCTTGTACTTTGGCCTTCTTTTCATTGCTGGCATTTGTTGACTGAGTAGTACCAGCAGGTGGTTGAATGGCCTTCAATGTTTGAAACACTTCCTGAGTTCGACTGACAATATCCTGCACGGTTTCTTGGCCTAGACGACATAAGGAGGCCTGCCCATAATCTTTGGACTGTTGCTGTTGCTGTTGCTGAGGTGTGTACGACTGAGGAGGAGTTGGAGCTACGCCGGTTGTTTGAGATCCTGGATGCATTTGATGATTAAGACTGGGGTTAAACTCAGTCATTGGTGTAGTAATGGGGCTCATCATTCCGCTCATTGGATTTGCGATTTGGCCCATCATTGGGTTACCTAATTGTGGTATTTGGCCTCCCATTTGATTGGGCATGGCAGCCTGCATACCGCCCGCCCCTAAAGCATTTTGCATGGGGCCCCCCATTTGGGAATTTATGGGGCTGATTCCACCTGCCATCGCGTTGGTCATTTGAGACATTATAGGGTTCGCCAGCTGGGACATTTGGTTGGGAAGTGCATTTTGCATGCCAGTTCCGTCCAGGCTATTTTGCATGACCCCCGGGCCAAACGAACTTCGAAGACCACCCTGGTTTGGATTGTTCATGTTTTGCATGAAATGATGAGTTGGTCCTGCCATGCTTTTAAGCCTAATTAATCGATGTTTCCAGGACACGCACACTGTTTAGGAAACTCACAAGATGGTTTGTGTTCAACACCGCACACTGTCCACTAAGTTTATAATATAAATTTGGCCTTTCCTAAATGTACACAAGCACACATAACCTAAATACACTGTCAAACAACTAACTGTGAATATAGCGGCGGTTTCTTTCTATACCGATTAATGTCAAAACTTTCCTCCTCAAAAGGGCGCGTCGTTGATGTAGAATATGTTTCGAAATATTAAAAAAAAATTCTATCATCAATTTAAAGCAAATAATTCCGAAAATCACACAATTATGTTTATTACTATTTTTACTGATTTTTTAAATATGAGTAAACAAATTACAGCGAATTGCATTCTAAAAGTTCTCCTACACATATGAACCAGGGTACCTCGCTTTTCTCGAGAAAACAAATTGATGTTTCTAATACAATTTACAAATACTTTTAACTATATAGGATGCCTATACAAAAAATGACACACAAACATATACAGGGTGTCCCGAAATTAGGTGGCCAAACTGAAACAGTGAAATCTGCTCTCAAAAATAATATTAATTTTTCAAATGAACATGTATCGAAAAATGCTTCCTAACGGAGCTACGCCTTCCTGAAGAGGGGCCCAGTAGTAGGGTTTTTTGCAAATTATTTCTAAACGGTTGAACTTCAAAAGGTAAATTTTTAGAACTGTATTAATTTGGATATGAAATTAAAGCTGTCATTTGGAGGGGTAGAGGTACAAAAAAAGCTCTAACTTTTTTCTGAGACTAAAAATCAATGTGTTTTGTACAAATTGTGAAAATCTGAAGTATTTTACGAAGAAAAGGTACTCTTAATTTACTTCGCTCAGACGCACCATTTTCCAACTGAATGACTTTAAAAATATTACTCCTATCCATACACATTTTATATTTTATTAATTATTAAGTTAATATTATTGCAGTTTATTTTTATTTACGCAGTCAGGAAAATAAATCACAATAAAGTTAAAATTATTATCGACACTAATTTACTGTAGTAAATATTCAAACAAATTTCCATTTTCTTGAATGCACACTCTGAACCTATTCCTAGTATGTTGGGTGGCCTGGATTATTTCAAAAGGGGTTTGTTTTATCTGATTTCCGGCCGCGCAAATCCGCCTTAGAAGCTCTTCTGGGCTATCTATTTCTGTAGCATAAATAATATTGGACATATTAGGCAGGCAGATAATAATCCAAAGGATCTAGATCAGGCGATCGAGCTGGCCAGTTTACTGGGCCACCTCGACGTATCCACCTGCTTTGAAAATGTTGGTTTATCCAATTTTTCACAGGTTGGCCAAAGTGGGCGGAATCCCCATCATGCCGGAAGAACATTTCTAACCTTATGCTTATAAGAATATCCTGTAGCAATTCTTGTAGAAAATTTAAATAATTATAGGTATTAACCTATTTGGTAAAATAATCGGTCCTAGCAAGATATCCCTTTTGACACCTGCCCATACATTGAAAGAAGACATATAATGTTTGCCTTTCGAACAACTCTTGATGCTCCAAAAATGAGTATTATCCTCATCCGACCATAAAAAATTATGTTGGTGGCTTAGAATCCAACGGCAAAATTCTGTACGTGCCATCGTTGGCTCTTAAATCATGTACCGTTTTATAATCGAAACGATGCAATCCTTGCTTTTCAGTCATTCTTCCGATATGAAAATATGTTTTTAATTAAATCATGTGTTCTATGTCTTCGTGCAATATTTTATTTGTTTTATCCTTTATTATTTTTTTGATAACCAAAAAAATTGCACACAAAGAC